AACAGCTTTAATGCTGAACTCAAAAGGGTAACAAAACTGAGAACACAAAATACGCTTACACAGCAAGATAAGGGTAGATGAGGGTAGATCGCGACACAGAGAAACACAGGGCTTAAATACACAGAGGGGGCAATCAGGGAACGGTAACAGGAGGGAAACACAGTTGGGGCAAATCAGGCCTAAAGAAACAGGGGAAGCAAAGCAAAAGTACATTAACACCAGAGATGGACCTTCAAAGTAAAACAGACTGAACTTAAAGACACAGACTCACAGGCAGGCACTGCAACAGAGGGAACAGTAAACCATAAGGCAGAACTCTAACCAAGAAACCAAAGACTAGAAATGATAAATAATATAATAAACTCAAAACTCAACGACCCAGGCATCCTAACAAAATCCACGTTGGAGGCATTGGTGGTGTGACCGAGTTCACATCATATCGGCACAGGTTCAGGGTCGCAGGGTGGGTGGAGTCTATCCCTGCTGTCATAGGGCAAGATGTAGAGCAGGGGTGGGCAATCCCAGGCCTCGAGGGCGGGTGTCCTGCAGGTTTTAAATCTCACCTTGGATCAACACACCTGAATCACATGATTAGTTCGTTACCAGGCCTCTGGAGAACTTCAGGACATGTTGAGGAGCTAATTTAGCCATTTAAATCAGCTGTGTTGGTTCAAGGACACATCTAAAACCTGCAGGGACACCGGCCCTCGAGGCCTGGAGCTGCCCACCCCTGATGTAGAGGGTCTATTTTAAAAGACATTCATAATGTATCATTAAAGGCAAATTAAGAAGATGTACCCACACAAAACAGCTCGGTTTATAAAAAGACCATGCTGTGACTTAAAATGCAGCGGTCGCCACTTCTTTTCAGCTCTGTTTTCTTGGTTGCCGGGGTGAAGTGTCCTCACTCTGGACAGAATATGCACCACACGTGCTAACTAAAGTTCCTGCTGAAATACGTCAGTTTCAAAGTTCTGCTGACTGTCAGGAAAAAAGTTTTAAGTCAACATATGCAAACAAACCGGTTATTTTTCATGACTATTTCACATTTTGCTGTAACACACACACACGCTCAAGCTTTCTTCATTCAAGTGCATGCTATCTGCGCTCTCACATATGCAGATTTCTTGCATGCACGCATGCATTTATTTCTGCTTGTCTCTCATCCGCACACACACACACTTGTGCACACACTCGAGCTCTTAAGGTCAAACTCATGATGTCAGTGTGCACCGTGGGGCCTCTGGGCTTTGAAGTCTGTTAGATTCAATAGTCCCACAGGAAGCTCTGTTTGAGTGAAAATAAGCTCGCACAGCCAGAGGATCTTCATACAAACACAGGCTCACATATTGGGAATATGATTTCACAGCTATAGGTCACCGACTGCCTCACTGGAGTTTATGCAGAGCGTATTGTGATGTAGTTTAAGGAAGCGCCTTTGCTTTTTTGTTTCAGCACAACTGAAGGTAGCAGCTTATTGCAGTCTAATTACAGCATCATTTTTGCTTCTCATTTGTGCTCATCTTATTACTTTCATGTCACCCCTTGAGTTTTGTATCATTCACCTTTTGCTCCGCTGTTTTCTTTCTGTCCATTTTCTGTCTGTGTTTGCTTTCTGTTATTTCTGCTGCAATTACTCTTTCTTTCAGTCTGGCTTTTATTCTCCGTTACTCTAATATTTGTATTCAGTATGATTTTCAAGATGTCATATTGCATTGAGCGCTATTGCAAAACGTCTCAACACAATGCGAATGTCGCTCACGGCACTATCAAAATAAAGACCCTGCCATTACAGGACTGAGTCTCACAAAAGAAAACTGAGAAAAAAAGAATTTGTTTAAATCCAACACAATACTAAAAGCACTCAGAAGAAGCTGTCGGGTGGTAATCAGTAGTATTTTAGCCCAAACAGACACTTTTAGAACCTTTATTTGTAATCTGTTTTTCTTTCTCGATTCACAGCCACCACTCCGCCCCTGTCGGCCGTTTGTGGCTTTGAGCAGAGCCTGTGCGGGTGGTCGGCTGATCCCCAGTCAGGTGTGAGCTGGACCCTGCACACAGCTAGCAGCAGCTCCACTGTGCACGGCGCTCATGGAACAAGGCAGGACCTGGCACTGGGATCAGAAAGTGAGTACGCACGTACTTTGGCGACTGAAGGGGATAAAATGTGTGATTTTTGGAACAAATCAATTTGATGAACTGTGTTGCTTTAATTCTAACATGAGCCCGTCTCTTAAAGTTTCTCACCACGATGTCCTCTCACTGTATTTCTTGGCTGCTTGACAAAGATTTTGTCTTTTGCCACAAAAAAAAAAACAATTCTGACATTTCCTCAGTGAGACAAAGCAAATTTCACATCATGTGAGAATAACCTTGCTAGCCCATTTAGCTACTAACAACCCATAATGCCTTCCTCTAAACTAAGAGGCACAATCTGTAGAGGACATTTGGTTCTGCAGACACACAAATGTCTAAATCAAAGAACAAATGCTCATTTTTAGACAGAATTTTGAATAAATCTTGAATCTGGTCGGGTTAACCTGAGCATTATGTAAGCTGCTTTAAACCCCAGTCACACAGGTGTGGAGACCGGCGGGAGCCACCGGTTGATAAGGGAAAAACCGAGATTCCTCATCCAGTTGGAAGGTGATGGCAGGAAGTTGCTTTGGTTGGTACGAGATTGTTGTGGTCGATCATAGTTTGCATAGGAGACGCCAACTAC